TTACAAAGAAGGAAGTCAAATAGCTCTTAATCATCTGACAATGCAACTCAGAAATGCACTTACTTCTCACCTTTTCAATGAAAGTTAAGCCCAAAGTTTGAAAACCACTCTATTAGTGAAGCTATTTGGAAAACAGGGACTCACATACATAGCTTTTGGGAATGTAAGCTGGCACAACCATATAAATAACTGAGCGATATCTATCAAAATGACATACGCATATATCCCCTGACCTAGCAATTTCACTTCTGAGAATTCAGCCTACAGATACCCATCCGTGTAAGGCTGTTCATTACTGCAATGCTTATCACTGCAAAAGAACAGAAATTTAACAGATATCCATCCACAGGGGACTAGATAATTACGGTGTTATTCAGTACCAAGCATACAATAGAATACTATGTATTTGGAAAAAAAAAAAAAAAAAGAACAAAGAATGTACTGTCCTAATAAGGAAGAATATTCACACTCTATTGTTATGTGAAAAAGCAAGATGCACAACAGTGTGTGTAGAAAGCCCTTCTATCTGGGGAAAAAGGAATGGGGGGATAATAAGAATATCTTTTTACTGAGTTATTAAAGTTATTCTTGAGTTATTAAAGAAACGCCTCCCCCTTTGTATATTATTTCCGAACCGTGTGAATGTACTACCTCTTTGTGCAGACTGTGTAATTGGCCCTGATTCTTCACCCCTCCCTGTGTCCACACCCTTGCCATGGCTTCATTGTGGTTAGAAAGTAACTTCCCACCCTTTGACTTAGCGTGGCCATGTGACTTGCTTTAATCAATAATATAGGGGTGGAAATGATGGTATGCCAGTGGCTTGCCAGAAATCAAAATGTGGCTTTACATATGAAATCTATGTTATCTTATGAAACTGTATGGAAAGCCAGAGTAATCAAGTAATTACAGTATTGCTACAGTCATTCACAAATTGTACAGTGGACGAAAATAGAGAATCCAGAATTAGATCCCAGAATATATGAGAGTTTAACACGAGTGGTGCGAAGAGGGTGGAAAAAGACTGTATGCCTGGGCATCATCCCTCATACCTGTAATCCCAGCACTTTGGGAGGCCGAGGCGGGCAGACTGATTGAGCCCAGGACTTTGAGACCAGCCTGGGCTACACAGCAAAACCCTGTCTCTACAGAAAATACAAAAATTAGCCAAGTGTGGTAGCACATGCCTGTAGTCCCAATTACTCAGAGGCTGAGTTGGGAGGATCACTTGCCCCAGGAGGTCAAGTCTGCAGTGAGCTGTAATTGCACCACGGCACTGGAGCCTGGGCAACAGAGTCTCAAAAGAACCCGCAACATTTAAGGCTGGGAGTGGTAGCTCACATCTGTAATCCCAGCACCTTGGGAGGCCAAGGCAGGCAGATCACCTGAGGTCAGGAGTTCAAGACCAACCTGACCAACACGGTGAAACCCCGTCTCTACTAAAAAATACAAAAATTAGCTGGGCGTGGTGGTACATGCCTGTAATCCCAGCTACTCGGGAGGCTGAGGCAGGAGAACTGCTTAAACCCATGAGGTGGAGGTTGCAGTGAGCCAAGATCATGCCATTGCACTCTAGCTTGGGCAAAAGGAGTGAAACTCCAACTCAAAAAAAAAAAAAAAAAAAAAAAAGTAATGTTTAACAGTGCTGGCACAACTGGCTATCCAGTTTTCTTTCTATTAAAGAAAATAAAATTGAACCCATATTTTACACTAGATACAAAAATAAATGGCAGATTAAGGAATAAGTGTAAAAAAATTAAACAATTTAAAAATATTGCAAAAAAATAAGAAAACACATACACAATCAAGAACCAAAGAGACTTCCCTAGTGAAGCCTGCAAACCTAGAAAGTATTGGAAAAAAAGACATAATTGATGACCTAGAAATGAAAAACGTATGTATAAAAAATTTTTTTTCAACAGAGAAAAAAGGAAATATTTGTATGGAAAATGATACTACAAACAAAATCGACAAGAGATTACTCTGGAAAAAATTATTTTCAATGCAGAAGAAAAGATTAGTAGCAAAAATACACAAAGGGCTGTGCGTAGTGGCTCATGCCTGTAATCCTAGCACTTTGGGAAGCTAAGGTGGGAGATCACTTGAGGTCAGGAGTTCGAGACCAGCCTGTCCAACATGGCAAAACTACGTCTCTACTAAAAATATAAAAATCAGCTAGGCATGGTGGCGGGCACCTGTAATCCCAGCTACTTGGGAGGCTGAGGCAGGGGAATCACTTGAAGCAGGGAAGCAGCAGCTGCAGTGAGCTCAGATTGTGCCACTGCACTTCAGCCTGGGCAACAGAGGAAGACTCCATCTCAAAAAAAACATATACATACAAAGAACCCCTACAGACTGACAAGGAAGGAGTTTTCACTTCTGGTAATGACGAGGGAACCATATCAGAGCAAACCTCATACAAATTCTGAGTAAAATGTTTAAAGCAGTGATCTGAGGGCGCTGGCAGAAACTGGAAAACAACACTTAGAAGAACAGAGTAACACTAGGTGAAGTCTCCATCTTTACAAGATTTCTGCCTACAGCTCCAGTGACAGAAATCCAGCACCGAGGGACCCCCACTTTCTGAATATAGTATCTTCTCCCCTCTCTGGCTTCCCCTGAACCACATGTCCACAGTGCAGACACAAGCAGCCCAGTTACGGCTAAAAGAGGCAGAGAGTTCAGCTACTGTCCATCAAAAGGGAGACAGAACTTGGGGTGTAAGCTTAACCAAGTAAACCACCTACATCAAGAACATAAAAGAATATATCATCTCTAGCTAGGTGTAGTGGCTCACACCTGTAATCCCAAGGGAGACCAAGGCAGGCAGAACACCTCAGGTCAGGAGCTCGAGCCCAGACTGGCTAACATGGCGAAATCCCATCTCCACTAAAAATACAAAAATTAACCAGCTGTGGTAGCACACACCTGTAGTCCCAGCTACTCTGGAGGTTGAGGCAGGAGAATCGCTTGAACCTGGGAGGTAGAAGTTGCAGTGAGCAGAGATCATATCACTGCACTCCAGCCTGACTGACAGATCAAGACTCCCTCTCAAAAAAACAAAACAAAACTCATAGTCTCTGGGAAACAGCATTCACAATTTCTAGAATACAACCCCAAAGTTCCTTAGCTTTTGGAGTGTAAAGAAAATGTGACCCAAACTCAAGAGAAAAGACAATCACTGAAAATCAACCCTATAGTAACCCAGATGTTCAAAATTGCATAAAAGGACCTTAAAGCAGCTTTTATAACTATGCTCAAGGATGACAAGAAAGAAACCTCAACAGAAGAACAGAAATTACAGGCCAGGCATGGTGGCTCACACCTATAATCCTGCATTTTGGGAGGTAGAGGTGGGCAGATCACAAGGTCAGGAGATAAAGATCATCCTGGCCAACATGGTGAAACCCCATTTCTACTAAAAATGCAAAAATTAGCTGGGCATGGCGGCACATGCGTGTAATCCCAGCTACTCAGGAGGCTGAAGCAGAATTGCTTGAACCAGGGAGTCGGAGGTTGCAGTGAGCTTAGATTGCGCCACTGCACTCCAGCCTGGCGACCAAGCAAGACTCCATCTCAAAAAAGGGGAGAAAAAAAACCCAGAAATTATAAAAGAACAACCAAATATAAATCCTACATCTAAAAATAAAACTACAATATATTGAAAATTCAACATTATTTCATCTGCTTTAATAGCAAATTGGAGAAGAGAGAAAAAGGTGCCTATCAACTTGAAACTGGATAAACAGAAATGATTCGATTTGAGAAGCAAAGAAAAAAAATTAGAAAAACCAGAGACTTAGAAACCTATCTGACAACATAAAAAGGTATAACTGTGTATATATGTGTATAACTGGTGTCCCAGATGGATGGGAGATAAAGAATGGGGCAGAAAACAATCTTTGAGGAAGCTGGGTAAGGTGGCTGATGCCAGTAATCCCAGCAATTTGGGAGGCCGAGGCAGGAGGATCACTTGCACCCAGGAGTTTGAGGCTGCAAAGAGCTATGATGGCACCACTGCATTCCAGCCTGGGTAATAGAGCAAGACCCTGCCTCTAAAAATGAAATAAAAAAGAAAAGAAAAAAACATCTGTGCTTTCCACTGTACATAATTCATATATAAGTTTTTAAAACATGTTTTTATCCAAAAAAAAGTGCTTGCCTCAGAGTAATTCTTCTGTAAATGTTAGCTGTGATCCTTCTGTTAAACCACAGAACATCAGCTTAGGAAACACTGGGCTATGTGCACTGGCTCATGCCTGTAACCCTGGCATTTTGGGAGGCTGAGGTGAGCAGATCACCTGAGGTCAGGAGTTTCAAACCAGCCTGGCCAACCCCATCTCTACAAAAGATACAAAAATCAGGCAGGCGTGCTGGCACGTGCCTCTAATTCCAGCTACTCAGGCAGCTGAGGCAGGAGAACCACTTGAACCCAGGAGGCAAAGGCTGCAGTTAGCCAAGATCACACCATTACACTCCAGCCTGGCAACAGAGCAAGACTCCATCTCAAAAAATAGTAACATCTCTATATAAATGTATATACACATACACACACACACCCCTACATATACATACTGTTCTTTGAACAAGCTTCCTCTCTACCTTATGGCCTTCATACAGGCTCACCGTTCTGTCTGGAATGTTCTTATCTCACACTCCTCCTGGGATCATGGCTACTCATTCTTCTGGTCTTAGCCTAAATGGCATTTTCTCTGGTAAGGCTCACCTGATGCTCCCTGGCAACGGCCAAATTAATATATCTTATTACATACTCCCACAGGACTCTGGGCTGCCAGCCTTGCTGCTGTAATGAAATTGCACTTCTTTGACTATTGTCCATTTTTCCCATGGGGCTAAGAGCCAGAAGGGCCTCAGCTTTGTTCTGCTCCCCACTGAGTTCCCTGTATTCAGCACAGGGCCCAGTACCGAGTCGCTGGAGGCAAACAGCAGAAAGACCAGTTTCCCACTCCTGCCTTCCCCTGCCCCGCCCCACACCATACCGCTTGGCTCTTTCCAGGTCGTCATTTGCTTGCTCCAGCTCTCTGATGTATTTCTGCAATTGGTCTTTAATGGCTTTGGTCTGTGCGAGGTCATCCTCCAAGGCTGAGATCTGCCGGTAGCCTTCAGAGTGCTGCACTTCAAACTTCTCCTGAAGGAGAACACAGACACTGAGTGAATGACTTCAGTGAAGGCTAGGTGCGCTGGCACATGAATGCGCACCTGGGGTCGGCGCTACTCTGGAGGCTAAAGTGGGAGGATTGCTTGAGCCCAGGAGTTAGAGGCTACAGTGAGCTACGAATGTACCACTGCAGTCCAGCCTGAGCAACAAAGCAAGACCCTATATGTCTTTTTTTTTTTTTTTTTTTTTGGGGGGGATTAAGTCTTACTCTGTTGCCCAGGCTGGAATGCACTGGTGAGATCTTGGCTCACGGCAACCTCTGCCTCCCAGGTTCAAGCAATTCTCCTGCCTCAGCCTCCTGAGTAGGTGGAAATACAGGCACCCACCACCACACCTGGCTAATGTTTGTATTTTTAGTAGAGATGAGGTTTCACCATGTTAGCCAGGGTGATCTCAAACTCCTGGCCTCAACTGATCCACACACCTTGGCCTCCCAAAGTGCTGGGATTACAGGTGTGAGCCACTGTGCCAGGCCTGACCCTGTCACTTTCTGAAACTCCTCCTCCCACCATACTCCCTGGGGAAGCTCCAGGATTTCCATCCCACCCTCCCACCACAATCAGAGACACGGCAGGCCCAGCCAACAGAACCTCTTCTCTCCAAAGTGCTGAGTCTCAGGCAAGTCACTTAACGAGGTGGGAACAGGCAGGTGTCATTCAAAGCAGCCACAACTGACCAACTGTTTTATTTTTTTTTTTTTTCTTGAGGCGGAGTTTCCCTCTTGTTGCCCAGGCTGGAGTGCAATGGCACGATCTCAGCTCACAGCAACCTCCACCTCCATGGTTCAAGAGATTATCCTGCCTCAGCCTCCCGAGTAGCTGGGATTACAACCATGTGCCACAATGCTCGGCTAATCTTTTGTATTTTTAGTAGAGATGGGGTTTCTCCATGTTGGTCAGGCTGGTCTCGAACTCCCGACCTCAGGTGATCTGCCCACCTCGGCCTCCCAAAGTATTGAAATTACAGGTGTGAGCCACCTCACCCGGCCTGACCAACAGTTTTAATTATGTCCTAAATGCCACCCACATCCCACCCCCTGAGCACCTTGAATCCTGCCCACTCCCAAACCTGGTTCCTACAGCCCTCAACAATCTTCAGATAAATCATTCTGCCCAAGGTGTCCATAGCCCATGAAAGCCACGTGACTTCTCCAAGACTCATTTGCAAGAGCAACGTGGGTCTCCTTCACACATTCTCACCGTATTACAAAGAGTCACCAGCCTGGCCCTCAGAGTGAAACCTATTCTCTACAAAAAAATAAAAATTAGCAGGGCATGGTGGCTCTCGCCTGTAGTTCCAGCTACTTGTGAGGCTGACGTGGGAGGATCATTTGAGCCTGGGAGATTAGAGCTGCAATGAGCTATGATTGCATCACTGCACTCTAGCCTGGGCAACACAGTGAGACCCTGCTGTCTCCACAAAAAAAAAAAAAAAAAAAAAAAAAAAAAAAAAAAAAAAAAC